CACAAGGTGAGTCCTGTGAACTATCAGCTCGGAAGGCGAGACGGACCACTGACACCCAGTTTAGTCGTCAGTGACTTCATTTCCCGCTGCCAAGTCAACTTCTGTCCACATCGAGCCTTGCGCCACCCTACACCTGGCAGACTAAACAACGCCCTCCTAGGTAAGCGGTGACCAACCATACGTAACATGTGCCCAAGCCAACGCAAGTTATTATGTGCCATCTGTTGTTCTAGGGAGTTAGCATGATTGTCACTACCTAGTACGCCTACGCACATCATCGTTGTAGACAGGCTGGTGCCATCCGACACCAGCAATGCTTCGCAGACAACGATGACCAAAAGGCACCAGATCTTCAGACCGAAGGGGTCGTCTCAGTACCATAGAGCAGAACGGCCCTCACTGTAGCCTTGTATACACGGCCTTTCAGACAGAGAGAAACCCTTCTGTCGTCAAAGATGCCGCAGGTGCAAGAAGGCAGTTCTGGCTTATGCAATGCGTGAACTGACCAGTTTCTATATGCCCATCGTTGCTGACTGCTGCCAAAATAAGTGAATTTATCAAGCATTTTGACCTCCTCGTTAGCAAGGGTCAAGGGGTCATCGAGTGGCTGGTGGTCCTGCAGCAACACTGCCCTTTGAAGGTGTGAAGCGCATACCAAATAAGGGGACCACGCTAGACAGACTATTCATGGATGATTGTGCCGCCGCAACATCGTCGAAAAGTAGGTCCATGTCGTCCGCATAATCAATATCAACTAACGTTTCACCAGGTAGGACCTCGAGGGGCTGCTGAAGTAGGAACACTCCAGAGATAATCCTATCGTTCCACTTGAACTTATCCAACGGGGTCGACAGGAGGACTCCGGGGCACATATCCCGTGGTGGGAACGACTGCGAATGTGAGCAAATAACTATCTGACATAAGCATTAATAAAACGGTTAAAATTTGCATTCAGCCGTAGAAGCATTCACTAAACATTTGAACCAGGTCTGAGTGTGACCCTGTAGTGATTCCCAAAGTAAGATCATTGTACCTGGGGTAGACGGCCACTGACCCTTCCGCTTATCTTTACCTTCATGTTTGGTTTACCGTGGTCTCTTCCTTGGTGGTTTTTATGTGAACATCCAGCTACCTAGGAGGTAGTTGCTTTTCACTGCAGCTACCCAGGTCTATTAGGACCTACGTACACGCTAGACACGGAAGCCCCCGGAATCCACGACCAGACGGATACTACATATTTGGTGACACTATCAATTAACGACAGCAGTTCCTGTAGCTGGGTCGTTGCTTTTGAGGTCTTCATTAGCTTTCCTGCGACCACTAATTGTCGTAGAATCTCTAACTTAGCACGCCGTGCTCTTCGGTTGCACACCAGCAGATCGTACACCAAACGCATGCTACACATTTAGCGACCATGCATACTCCCGACAGCAGTCATTGAAGCTAGCTCGTTGCCCTTTGAGGCGGTTATTAACTCCTGTGACCATACTGCTTGACGCGCAATCTCTCGAACCCAGCACACCGCGCCCATCACTTGTTTCGCACCTGTGGGTCAAGACCGAGTATGGCTACTGTAGGCGCCTCTCAACAGGGTGGATGGTGTGGCAGATTCAAGCGTGACCTTGCAGTGATCTCTAAGTAAGATCGTTGCATCTCGAGTAGACGGGTAGTTTGGTTTACTGTGGTTTCTTGGTATCTGTGATATGAACATCCAGCCAGCTACAAGGTACTTGCTTTCCATTGCAGCTTCCCACGTCTACAACGACCTACGTACATACTAGAGGCTCTCGGAATCCAAGACCAGACCCATACTACACAATGCATTAAGGAAAAGAATATCAATGAACAATAATCCTGTGACGAACTAAACAACCAAGTGCGATCTTACACACAGCATGACATTGGTAAATTTGGTTTGTTTCATTTATGATGGAGATAAAATAGTTTGTACTCTTATTCTCCTAATACAGTGGTCCTAATTCTGATTAATCGTTATGTAAAGTATAATCGACAAGCTCGAGTAAAACGATAAAAAAACAAGCCATGGAAACACAAAACCAAAGAAAAAGTAGGCATAAAACTGACCTCAGCTTCAATTTCTGCTATCTTCTGCAGTACACTCATTCTTCACGATGCTGAAGGGGCAGTACTAAGGAAGCAGTGGCAAACACACAAACCGGAGCCAGTTGCGCAGTACATCCACATACAACGACTCATATCAAGCCGAAATGTTTGCAAGTAGGATACTAGATGCAAAACATGGTTGCGACCTAAGCCAAGGTGCAAAATTACATGATATATTGACAACCAAATGCACTGAATTATTGAAGCTCTGTGAGTACCACGCAGTAACTTCTCTTTCTGACGTGCTATACTTCGAGTCTTTTAGGTAAAATTCTCTTGAAGATAAGTGTTTGAATAGACACTTTTGACGAAAGTTGCCTGTAGTCAAATTTTTCTTTTGGCGGATATGGCATCCAAGTGCGTGGACTGTGATAAGAGTGTCACCTCACGTTCAAAGGCCGTCCAATGCGCATTGTGCGATAGATGGATGTATATAGTTTGCTGTAACATTGATAATGATCTTTACCAATGTCTTCAGCGCACTACTTCCAAAGGCAGCAAGTTTCACTACGATTCTTGTCTCACATCGGTCAGCGACAAGCAACTTCTAACGAACTCTTTCAACATACATTTTGCTTCCGCGCATGCCGTCTCTAACTCGGACAGCGAGACACATATCTCAGTGTGTCTGCCCTTGTCTGGGTATTCTACACCGAAATGGAGACGAAGCCGGGCGTCCTCCACCACACTGGACTTAACACCGTTGCCCAGTGAGAAAGGGAATGGGCTGATGCATAAGCTTAAGTCCTATGCCGCAGC